TTGGTCGGAAAGAGTTTTTTCTTATCACAACTCCTCCCTTCCACAACTATAAATAGGGGCCTTCATACCTCAGAAAGGACACCAGAAGTTATAACAAGAAGCAAGAGAGAGCTCGTGGATCAAACGCCGCAAATTTCTCTACAAGTTTCAGGCTTCAAGCAACCAAGTTCAAGTTCAAGAAATCAAGTTCAAGTTCAAGAACGAAGAACAACTCAAGTTCAAGCTCAAGAACGAAGAACAATTCAAATATTCAAGATCAAGAACGAAGTCAAATCAAATACATGGCGTTCAAGATCAAGGCTACTTGTTCGTGATAAAATTCGTGGCAACAATCAAAGTGTTCGCAACGGATAAATCAAATTAAAATTCAAGATCAAGCTCAAAGGCCTTTGGATTTATTTACAATTGGAAAAGTAGAATTAGAGGATTCATAGAGATTATAACACTCAAATATTCAAAATAAAATACTACGATTGTTGTAATATTTTCGGTCTTGATTTTATTTTATCGATGCAAATTTATTGTCTACAGTACCGTATACGAGAGAGAAAGGTATATCTCTCATGCTTGATTTTGTCATCGTCCGGTACGTCCATTACACGCCCGGTAACTCTTCGGGCCACTTGCCTTTATCAGCTTCTAACCTCTTTTTGAGGTTTGGGATAATAACCTTATTGGTTGACTCCACCTGTCCATTAGCGCTTGGATGTAATCCTTTTGATTTTCAAGTCTTCAAGAAATTTTATGACATTGGAGCCTATGAACTGTGGTCCGTTGTGCAGGCAATTTCCTTCGTATACCGAATCGGCGGATTATGTTTTCCCATAGGAAGTCAACCACTTCGCACTCACCGGTCTTTTGGTAAGGACATGCTTCAACTAATTTAGTGAAGTAATCGGTTAAAATTAAAAGAAATCTAACCTTTCCGGGACCTAGTGAAACGAACCAACTATATCCATGCCCCATTTCATGAATGGCCATGGGGACAGTACCAAATCTAAGAGTTCCGCCGGTTGGTGCAACAACTGTGCATAGCGCTGGCACTTGTCATCTGAACGAACTTTTTTGCGTCCTGTTCCATCCGGGGCTAGTAGTATCTTGCCCTACCAACTTTAGTACCAAAGAATCTGCACCAGAATAGTTCTCGCAAATTCCTTCATGGACCTCTCTCATCACGTAGTCCACCTCTGAGGCTCTTAAACATCGGGCCAACGGGCCTTGGTATGATATCCTATATAATTGCCCACCCATGAGGCAGTAGCGAGCCGCTTTGGCGCATAGTGCCCGGGATGCCTTCGGGTCTTCGGGCAACTTGCCATGCGAAAGATATTCGATGAACTCATTCCTCCAGTCCCAGACTAGGTTGGTTATAGTTACTTCACAATAGCCGTCCACATCGAATGCAGAAGTTGAACAATAGTACCAGAGTCAGAGCCTTTCATCTCCGTAGACGACCCCAAATTAGCCAACACATCTGCTTCCATTTTCTCTTCTCTCGAAATGTGTGTAATCAACCATTCCCTGAATCGTGCAAGTAATGCCTGAACAATATTCACATACTGCTGCATGCGTTCCTCCTTTGTGTCGAAAATCCTGTACACTTGGTTTACTACCAACTAGGAATCACATTTGATCTCTATGACCTCGAAGTCAAGTCCCCGGGCCAGTTTGAGTCCTGCAACCAAAGCCTTATACTCGGCTTCATTGATAGTTAACGGAATAGTTTTAATGGCCTGCCTCAGGGTTTCCCCCGAGGGCATGATTAGAACCACCCGGAGCCCGGATCCTTTCACATTGGATGCTCCGTCCTTGAACAAGGTCCAAACTCCTGATGTTATTTTCGAAACTAGCACCGCTTATTTAGTAGCCAGTGCAAATAACCCGGGACTGAAATTGGCCACAAATTAGGCCAAAACTTGTGATTTGATCGCAGTCCTAGGATTGTATTTAATATCAAATTCATTAATTTTGACTGCCCATTTGGCCAACCGGCCTGACAACGCCTGCTTTAATTCCGTCAAGACCTGATCCTGTCTTGAGAGGTGAATCATGATGGCCTTTTGTTGCTCTCTTAGGATCCTTACTGTTTCCGCAGTGTGTTCATCTCTCGCGTCATCGGGAGTTGGCTCCCATTCATGTCGGCGGTACTGTCCTCCACGGATCGGAGTTGCCTCATCCCCCTCATTGCGGGTGTCCCTGATTGAATCCTCATGTTGAGGTAGATTTTCATGCCCCTTAAGTTGTGTGCGATGTTGACATCATTAGCTGCCATTCTCGATTTTTTGCTAAGGAACAAAGAATCAAACAAGTTAGTAATAAATGTATGGATCAACTCAATTATGCAACTGTCTAAGCCCCACGGTGGGCGCTAAACTGTTTGCCCGCAAAATGGTATAGTTAAATTTGTTACGTGATTTATAGATAAACGAATTGATTTGATCCAAAAATTACAAATAAACACGACTAAAAATAAGATTGAGCGGTCAAAATCGAAGGAAATGATAAGATTGGCTCCGAAAGTGATGCCTCAGAGGATAGAAATAAGAACAATGTAAAAGAGCGAATAAAGTTATTTGATTAAGCTTGAGAATGAAATATATCGTAAGTTTTGCCAAGAAATTTATGTGTTACAATGGCTGTTCAGCTAACTATTTATAGCTATACCCAGGGAAACAAGATCATAAGATCAAGCCCCTCTTAAGTGACAATAAATGGGCCATTGATGAATATGTAACGACAGGTCATGAATGCAAATATTCTCTGCAACAGCTATCCCATTTAATGCTAAGGAATATTCTTCATTGAATGTTATCCGATGACAAACATTCGATCTGCTATCGTTGATAATGCTCCCTTCGGGGTCTATCCGATGCCAACTACAGCTGTTGTTCTCGGTATGGGTTGTTATTTGATTTATTTTTGACCTATCTTCGATTCCACGTGTCACGCTACTATTCGATCATTTACTATAAACTAATTTTACCCTATAGATATATTCAATACAGAAGTGGCAATCAATTGGACCTTTGATTAATTTATATATCTTGATTGACTTCTCGTATTGGAGCTCTCTTATGGATCAAGGACAAAACCAAGAGTTTTTTTAGAGGCATAAGTAATGTTATACCAAATCAAATGTATTATGCTTATAGAAGATTTTGTGCATACATCATATTCGGATAGACTATACGTGCTGGAGCATCGAAAAAGTTACTAATTCAGAAGTGGTGTTTACATCAAGTTTGGAAATTTAAAACATAAAACACATGTCTTGCTTATAAATTTTTTATATCTTTTAATAATTTTGTTTGTGCCCGGAAAATCAATTAACAGCTTTATTAAATAGAACTAATTCGCACATGGTGAAAAAGAAAATACAACTCTGCATACACATGGTCATTATCGGAATAATATCTTCTTTATCTTTGACTAATGTCTCTTAAATCATTTTCACAGACTGTTCATCTGCTACTTGCAAAATAATTAAAGTATGGACAGATTCATGAGATAGCTTAGTCAATTATGAGGCACATGCTTTCAAGATTCTCGATGCTAATGTTTTCGTTTAGTACAGTGGACGAAAATCCTAGCAAAAAATATCTTCAAAAGTTAAGTTGTCCTTTTATGATTATCATTTTTCCCAATTCCTATGTTAAATGTTAGTACTGTATTATCTACAGTTATTTTTGACGATTTAAATAGTCAAAATGCTAAGATATTCAAATTTTATGGCTTAACTTAAACAGGCTCGCATCATTTCGTAGTTCTTTTTTCCTAAACACAATAGGAATATTTTGAAGCTGTCATTATAGCATTCATTTAGGTGGGATTTGTCACACTAACCATGATGCATGTTAAAAGCGGACCCATTTACTCATACATAAATATTTCAATATTTGTAAATATTAGCTTGGATTTTTTGGGTATAAGTACTTTCAAAACATAATTACTAATAAGGTATTTTAGAAACTTATAGAGAAGTAGTCAAGTGAAATATGGATTTTGGCTTACAAATATTTAACTTTGTTCAAATAAAACTCATGGCCAAACATAACTTTTAACACTCAAATAATTGTTTTAATTCCATCTTCAAGTAAACATTTTTATAACTTCAAACCAAGCATTTTCCTCAATCTATAATGTTCTTAATTCCCAGAAAAAATAAGAGAAAAAGAAAGTTGTTAGCCTTTCACAATTACATCCAATTTTTCTCTTCTTGTACAATTTTTTTTTTTTTTTTTTTTTGGATGGAGTGTATCTGTTAGCTTGAAATGAGGATTTATATAATTTTTTTTTAAAATTATTTATTATCCTTTATTTAGAAAAAGATTAACTTTTCCCCTCCGTTTATTTAATTGTCAGCAAATGTTCCAAAACAATTTCTATTTATACTTCTCTGCAATTGCCAATAAAATAATTTTGTCCCCTTTCTTAATTTGTTGCTGTGCAAAGCTTTATTTTAGTGAACTGACAAATGTATGCTTCGCCTAAGAAGGAAAAAGAGACAAATGTGTTTTTTGGGAGGAAAGAAATATATCTTTTGGGGGGCAACCAATGGCCTGAAATCATGTTAGTACTACAAAACTTTAGTTGTTTTATCCATATAACTTAGGGTAAATCCAAAAATAGTTTTATAGTCGTGGAAAGTAACAAACAAAATTGAGGAAATGACAATGTGAAAAACATTTTCTTTTTGTCTACCTCCTTTCATGATTAATTAGTATATTTAAAATAGAGTTAATAACTCGATGGAGTAAATTTAGAAAAATAAACTAGAAATACTCAATATATTCAACTGTAGAGCCTTGAATAAGAGAACACAATATATATTGGACTTCCAATCAAACATTTTTACTCCAATAAATGAATTAATTTAAAATGAAAATTATAAATTAGAGAGTAATTTTTTCCCTTGAGTTAAAATACAGAAAGAATTTACAGCTCACTCATACAGACAAGGCAAACGGTTACTGAAAATCACCAAATAAAAGGCTGCTTTCTTCTTCACTCGTCCAGTTACCCCACATTCCATTCCTATATATTTTCACCGCCGTTAACTATAACCGACGAACAATCCTCAGCCCTCTCTCTCCGGTAAAACTTCGTTAACAGCTTATTTTAGCCGCCACGCCAAAAAAAAAAAAAAAGTTCATACTCCAGCTCACTTTAGCTCATATTTATAGGTTCTTTAAACAATTCATTTTCTTTAAATTTTTTCTTTGAGAAATTGTGGATCTTCAAAGCAATGGGAGAAGAAAAAAGAGCGTTAGCGCAAAAGCTGATTGAGATAGTGAATGAAATATCAGGCATTTCTGAGTTCAGGATTTCAGTGAAGAAAGAGTACTGCAATCTGGGAAGGAGGCTCAAGTTGTTGATTCCAATGTTCGAAGAGATTCGAGATAATGACGTGGCAGTTTCTGAAGGCTCAATAAAAGCACTTGTTTCACTGAAGGAATCTCTTGAATCAACTAAGGATTTGCTCAAATTCGGTAGCGAAGGAAGTAAGATTTATCTGGTACGTGTTCCCATTATTATTATTATTATTTTTTCTGCTTTTTTGGTTTTACTTTAGGAATTTTACTTGATTTATGTTACCATTATATAGAGGATTCATAATTTTGAGCTCGACTAGTTGGAATTGAGACGTAGTTGTTGATAGATTTATTGATTGAAACTGCACAGTTACCTGTGAATTAAACTCCAGGGTGTAGGAGGGGATGCAAAGCCATATATCTAGATGAACAATGGGCACATCCACTCTAATCCGAAGAATTTTCAATAAATCCCTATATTGTCTGAATCCAAAAGGACACTACATTTTCTCAAGTTTGATTAGTTCTCTGGTGATACAAGGCAGGTTTTCAGAAGTATCAAAAACTTATGATGTTTGTAGGTGTTGGGAGTGCCTGGACAAGGAATTCACAACCTTGTTAACTTCCCTAAAGCATAGTTGAGCTCCTATTTATGACTTCGTTAACTCATATTGAAGTAACAGTCGCTTGTTTAACCTCTACACTGCAACTTCTGTTCTCCTTGGCATGGTTACCATTTTAAAAAGATCCTATGGCCTGATAGTTTGAATTCTTAACAGTGCCTTTGCCATGTTGTACAAACCAAATTATAATCCATAAAGGCTCAATGCAATGGTACCTTGTGAAGATTCTTGATCTTGTAACAAGGGGAGACGACAAGTCTTAAGTTGCTGGATGATGAGGAGTTCAATTGGCTAGGATGTGTGCTTTTATAAGTTGCTCCTTTGATTATTGCATACCATCAGAAGGTTGTGCTATTATTTCTGCTCTCAATACTTAAGTTTGTGGAGAAATCCACTACCTGTTTGCCACCAAACCTCTTAGAAATGCTCTTGTTTCCTATGCAATGATTACATATCATTGCCTATTCGTTTAGCCTGTTGTTTTTATTGAGGAAATGCAACACCAACAAGGTTGGCATGTTCAGTATGCTAGCGGAAATGGTACTTGCTATATGGCTGAACCCTTTTGTTGAACTTTTCTGGTTCATCTCCCTCTCCTACTTTCAAATAGTGGGGAGCTCACAGTGAATGAGAATAAAATGCAAACTAGGAATGAGAAGAATGCATGCATTTATCATGAAACGTTTGATGTGTACTTGCCTATTCGGGATCTCACATTAGATTAGACTTTCTTTGTTAGAATGATTTTAAAGTAAGTTCTTTTGAAATGAAACTAGTTGCAGCATCTTCATAGAGAAGCTAATACATAGAAGCTGAATAGAGTTGCACTGCAGGGACTGAAAGATTTTATGTGCTCTTTTAAGTTAAATATGTGATGATCGAAATTTTGAGCTGAAAATGTATGAATTGAAGGTTGTTGAAGTGTTTGACCATCTCATCTAAAAGTTTAGGTTATTAGTGAGAGCACATATTTATTTAGTTAATTGTGTTTTCAACGCACTCCCTCACGTGCATGCCTGCATGACTTCTTTCATTAACCAAGCACGTTGATCTTATTTTAATAATGGGTGGTGGTGAGACACGAACCCGGGACTTCTGCCTGCTCTGATACCATGTTGAAGTGTGTGACCATCTCATTGAAATACTTAAGTTATTAGAGAGAGAATACATTTGATTAGTTAATTATGTCTTCAACAAAAGGCTTGTGACAACTCAAGTCCGGTAAAGATGTCTCATAACACGTGTAACATCAATAAGTGTCAAAAATGTTACACTTTGCTTATGAGATCGTGAAAAAAAGAAGAATCTTATCCAAAAAGTCTAAAAGAAAAAAGAAATAGAAGAGGACATCAGGTCATCCCCATAGCTGACAGCAGTCTTTTGACAATTGCTATTGGGGCCTTCTACAACAACTAATACTCTTCAAATCCCAAACTAGTTGCCGTTGAGTCTATGATCCTCAATATCTATTCCACTCCATTAGGCTTGTCCCATTCTAATATTCATAATCCTACCAATTACAGTTTCTTGAACACTAGAGATTCTTTACATTTTCTACATACAAATATCTAAACAAACTAAAAGACCTGTAGTGAAACACTGAACCTGATGTAAGTCTACCAACGCAACTAAGCTTTAATTCCAATTATCTATCTTTTGCTTCCATTATGTTTTGCACTTTCGATAAGTCTGCATGGATTGTGATACTGTCTGTGCGTTAGCTAACTTTTTTCATTTAATTTAGGGCTACGTTTCCTTTTTTAATATTTTCAATCATCATATTGTTGCACTTACAGGGTAGTACATTTGGAGATCTATTAGGACATGACCAAACCATGTCAGGCGACCTTCTTCAGTTTATCCTTTATGCGTGTAGTATGCTACTTGTACCTCTTCTGTCAAATGTGATCAATCCTAACCTTGTCTAATCTTATATGATGCACATCTATTTAACATCTGCATTTTGGCGCTCATGTTGTGGAGAAGTTGGGTGTTAGAGGCCCATCACTCACTCTCTTATAACATTACTGGCATCTCAACCGTTTTGTAGTTCACTTTGGTAAGTATCTCCCTGTTGGGGCATTATGTTGTAAACTGATAATGGAGTAGTTGTTTTCTTTAGGGAGAGGACTCTTTAATGGATTTGGAAGCTATTATTCTGCTACCTTAAAGTGAGCCTTTAAAAACATGCCTGATCCACGGCTTTTAGTCATCAAGACGTCTGAACTCCTCATTTCTTCTCCCTGAAGTGCCGCTTTTACATCTACTAATCAAGAGTTTGCATGGTAAAATGATTCTCACAGTCATCGTTTGGATCATAGCTGGTGTTGCGTATTGAGCAGATTTCTATTTCAACTGCAAATAATTCCCTACATGTATGAGTCATTAACTTTAGTCCTTGTAGAGCACTGTATGTTTAGCCGAAACATCGGCCCTATCTTGGCCTACAGAGTAAAGCTCAATTCTAGGAATTTCTCTTTGCAGGTGTTGGAAAGGGAGCAGATAATGAATAAATTTCACGAAGTGACAGCCCAGCTAGAACAAGCTTTAAGTGGAGTTCATTATGAAGAGCTTGACATTTCTGATGAAGTTAAAGAGCAGGTAAAAGCATTACCTCATTAAGTCTTCATTTATTGTGGATGGATACATCTCTTGATGTGCAGTTATGCAATTATTCTTTTCCATCTGTGGCTTCAATTTCCAGGTAGAGCTTGTTCTTTCTCAGTTCCAAAGAGCTAAAGGAAGGGTTGATACGCCTGATGCCGAACTACATGAGGATCTATTGTCCATTTATAGTAAGAGTATTGATGCTGATATAGATCCAGTTGTCCTAAGGCAATTGGTTGAGAAGTTACAGCTGACTGGAATAGATGATCTCACACAAGAATCATGTGCTTTGCATGGAATGATCACTGCTACTGGCGAAGATATAGAGGAGAGGATAGAGAAGATGTCAGTAATGTTGAGGAAAATGAAGGACTTTGTGCTGACTGAGAATCCGGAGAGTGATTCTTCTTTGAGGGAGAAGTCTTCAACTTGTAGTGGACAAGCATCTACAGGGACAACTTATAAGGCCCCAGTAATACCTGATGATTTTCGCTGTCCTATATCCCTGGAATTGATGAAAGATCCTGTCATTGTTTCATCTGGGCAGGTACCATTATTGGATCTTTATCTTGCTTTTTTTGCCCGTTAAAATTGGTTGCCTTATTATCCATTTCTCTTGCTTCCTGATGACAGCAAAGACGTTTTTAACAGAGTCCTTCCGTTTCTTCTATCTTGCATTTGTGAGGATACATAATTATTATCTTGTATTGGTGCATGCATGGATGTGACTCAGACTGTCAAAACCAGGCCATAATCATTTCATTCAAGTGCTGCAGGTCCCTCTTGTCTTGTTTTTTTTTTTTTTTTTTTCCAGTAAATAGAGTAAATATAACCTAAATGATCATGGAAGAAGCTACCCATCTTCTAGCGGGACTATATCATGTGTATTAAGTAATAACTGTTGGACTTTAAGCCATTGGGCTTTAAAGTAGAAGAAGTGTGAATTGGAAATGGAGGGAAATAAAATGGAGGAAATTGAAAATTTGAAGAAGTGAACTTTTGTCTTGCACTTTGTCCCTCATTGGTGAGGGACAACCACATTTGTGTGCTTATATATAGAATCACTTCTTAAATCTCTTAAAAGGAGTTGAAGAGAATGAACCCTTCGCGCCGCCGTTGTCGCTCGCTCGGCTCGGCTTCGGCTTCGGATTTGGATTTGTCAAATGATCGATCGATAAGATTATTTTTGGACAAAATTTATTTAATTATTTAATAATTAATTAAATGCCAAATCACTGCTGAAAATACGCCAGAACCCTGCTGAAGGTTCAGAGGGCCTCTCTGGCCGCGGCAGGCAGCGTATTCTTCTGAAAAGGCACATTTTCCAGACACCTCTTCTGATAATTGCCTATAAATTCTGAGGCAAGGCTCTATTTTCTACACACGAAAAACACTCCAGAACTTCTTTCTTGCTGAATATACTGCATCCTATTCGCAGTCTCTCTCTCAAATTCGTAAGTGTGATTTTTCTCCGTTCTTTGAGTTCGTTGGTATCCTGCGGTTTGTATTGCCACTGTTGCAGGAAGGTTTATTCCGTTTTATCCTGGGAGGATTTAATCCATTACCTTGGCAACGTGTGAGGGGGTTAAAATTCCTTAAGGACACAAGAAAATTGTGGACTCGGAATATTTCTTAAACTCTTCTGTTTTTCCAGTTTCTTTTATTTTTCTAACAGTTTTTTCTGATTTTTGGTTTAACACAGTAACGCTCACAAGCTTAAGGAATTTTATACTAACGTTTCTGTGTTAAAATATATATTAAAACTGTTATCTATATTTGTATATTGTTTTGGAGACTAAAGCCTTCGTGCTTTCTACTCCAATAATTGTTCTGTCCGGTTTAAAGTATATAAAAACTTTACCGGAATAATAAACGTACGCGTTTGAAGTATATAAAAACTTCACCATTGTTACGTGTTGTATGTTTGGTTTGGTATTCAGTTTGAAGATATCAAAACTTCACTGATTTAACCAAGTTCTGTTTTGTTTCCAACTTTACAGAAAAAATGACGAATGAAAACCAAACTAATGGAAGTGTTGCGGGAACGGGTGCTACTGTTACGAGTGCTGCTGCCTCGTCAAGCCGTTCTACTCCTGCTCATGCTATGGCACCGGCAGAAAAACTCGGAAAGTTTTCCGGTATTGACTTCAAACGCTGGCAAATGAAGATGCTCTTCTATCTTACTACGTTGAGTTTGCAACGTTTCATCAAGGAGGATCCTCCGGTCATGGCTGAAAATACTCCGGATGATGAACGACTTGTTGTAACTGAAGCATGGAAACATTCTGATTTCCTGTGCAAAAAATTACATTTTGAGTTGTTTGGAAGATGGCTTGTACAATGTCTATAGTGTCATGGAAACTTCAAAAGCGTTATGGAATGCGCTTGAGATGAAGTACAAGACTGAGGATGTCGGACTTAAGAAGTTCGTGGCTGCAAGGTTCTTGGATTTCAAGATGATTGACACTAGGTCGGTCATAACTAAAGTCCAAGAACTACAAGTCATTGTACATGACCTCCTTGCTGAAGGTATGGCCATAAATGAGGCCTTTCAAGTCGCTGCTCCGTTGAAAGGAATTCAAGTCCTTTAGACTTAATTCACACAGATATTTGCGACATGAAGTCAACACCATCTCGCGGTGGGAAAAAGTATTTTATTACTTTTATTGACGATAGCACGAGATACTGCTATGTTTATTTACTTAATAGTAAAGATGAGGCAATTGATGCTTTCAAGCAATACAAGAGTAAAGTTGAAACGCAACTAAACAAAAAGATCAAAATGATAAGAAGTGATAGGGGTGGCGAATATGAATCTCCTTTTGAAGAAATATGTTTGGAAAATGGCATTATTCACCAAACAACTGCCCCTTACTCTCCACAATCTAATGGAATTGCGGAGAGGAAGAATCGAACGTTGAAGGAGATGATGAATGCATTGCTAATAAGTTCTGGCTTACCACAGAACTTGTGGGGGGAAGCTATACTTACAGCTAACCGAATAATCAACCGTGTACCTCATAGTAAAACACAATCCATTCCTTATGAGAAGTGGAAAGGAAGGAAGCCTAGCTTGAAATACTTCAAAGTATGGGGGTGTTTAGCTAAGGTACAAGTTCCTAAACCTAAAAGGGTTAAAATAGGTCCAAAAACGGTTGATTGTGTGTTTATTGGATATGTAACCAATGGCAAAGCATATCGGTTTCTGGTTCATAAATCAGAAAATCCAGAGATTCACGTTAATACGATAATAGAATCAGATAATGCTGAATTCTTTGAAACTATTTATCCGTATAAAAAGGAAAGTGAAGTGACCTACCAAAAGTCAAAACGACCTCGGGAGGAAATAATAGATGGTATGCCTAATGAAGAAAATCCGAGAAGAAGTAAACGTCAAAGGACATCTACTTCATTCGGTCCAAATTTTCTGACTTTTCTGTTAGAAAATGAGCCTCGTACCTTCAAGGAAGCAATATCTTCCTCAGAGGCACAATATTGGAAAGAAGCTGTCAATAGTGAAATAGAATCCATATTGAGCAACCATACTTGGGAATTGGTTGATCTTCCTCCAGGTAACAAAACGTTGGGTTCTAAATGGATTTTCAAGAAGAAAATGAAAGACGATGGTACTATTGACAAATACAAGGCAAGACTTGTTGTCAAAGGATTTAGACAGCGAGAAGGTCTTGACTATTTTGACACATACTCGCCGGTAACAAGAATTACATCCATTCGGATGCTAATAGCGTTAGCCGCTTTGTATGATCTTCAAATCCATCAAATGGATGTAAAAACAGCCTTCTTAAATGGTGATTTAGAGAAATCTACATGGACCAACCTGAAGGGTTTGTGGTTCCGGGAAAAGAAAAGAAGGTGTGTCGACTTGTTAAGTCTCTTTATGGACTAAAACAAGCACCCAAACAATGGCATGCGAAATTTGACCAAACAATGTTGTCAAATGGCTTTAAGATTAATGAATGTGATAAATGTGTTTACATTAAGAACGTTCCAAATCATGTAGTCATTGTTTGCTTATATGTTGATGATATGCTAATAATGAGCAAAGATATTGCTGACATTCAAGCTACTAAGCGTAATAAAGCCGGTGAAGAAGCTGAATGGCTTCGAAATTTCTTAGAAGACATTCCGTTCTGGCCAAAACCTTTGGCTCCTATTTGCATACATTGCGATAGTGAGGCTGCAATAGGACGGGCAGGGAGCGTTATGTATAACGGAAAGTCTCGTCATATACGACGAAGACATAACACCGTTAGACAACTACTTTCTAGTGGAATTATCACTATTGATTATGTAAGATCAAAGGATAATATGGCGGATCCGCGTACAAAAGGCTTAACTAGAGAGGGAGTTGAGAAATCATCTAAGGGAATGGGATTATGGCCGAGGACAAGTCAACATGGCGGTAATTCTACCTTGAATTTTGGATGTTCCAAGATCTAGGTTCAAGGAGCTCAAACAAAGTTGTGATTGACCGGTTCAACATTGTCAAAATAAAATCTTTGGTCCATTCTCGTGATGAAGACAATGTTCAGTAACAAGGATAGAACTTTACACGTTCTTTAATGATTACCTAAGTTTGATGTGGTATTTATCAAATAGTGTCAATCTAAAGGATTACACGTTTAGGAATCACCTATGTAAGTGTGAAGTGGAAGCCGCTTCAATGAGAATTCTGTAAGGCCAATTCTCTACGCACTTATGAGACCAGGCGGTGTTCATGGCTGAAACGAACACAACAATGAGAACTAAAAGACGGTTAAGGGTTGATTGTGTGACATATGGTTGTCTAGGTATACACTAAAGTTCGACGGTTCAAAGATATCAAATCTACCGATTGACCGAGTATATCCGACATATGTTCACTACGGAAAGTTCAAAGGGAAACCTACTTATCCAGATGCAATTAATCTTTACTTGCAAAATCACATAGCTTTCATCTATGATCTTTCTTGATACAGCCATTCCCATTCATGTGGGGGAGTGTTGGACTTTAAGCCATTGGGCTTTAAAGTAGAAGAAGTGTGAATTGGAAATGGAGCGAAATAAAATGGAGGGAAATTGAAAATTTGAAGAAGTGAACTTTTGTCTTGCACTTTGTCCCTCATTGGTGAGGGACAACCACATTTGTGTGCTTATATATAGAATCACTTCTTAAAGCTCTTAAAAGGAGTTGAAGAGAATGAACCCTCGCGCCGTCGTCGTCGCTCGCTCGGCTTCGGCTTCGGCTTCGGCTTTGGCTTTGGATTTGGCTTTGGATTTGGATTTGGATTTGGATTTGGATTTGGAAAATGATCGATCGATAAGATTATTTTTGGACAAAATTTATTTAATTATTTAATTATTAATTAAATGCCAAATCACTGCTGAAAATACGCCAGAGCCCTGCTGAAGGTTCAGAGGGCCTCTCTGGCCGCGGTTCTGCCGCGACCGCGGTAGAACCGCGACAGGCAGGTTCAGAAAGCCTCTCTGACCGCGGTTCTGCCGCGACCGCGGTAGAACCGCGGTAGGCAGCGTATTCTTTTGAAAAGGCACCTTTTCCAGACACTTCTTCTGATAATTGCCTATAAATCCTGAGGCAAGGCTCCATTTTCTACACACGAAAAACACTCCAGAACTTCTTTCTTTCTGAATATACTGCATCCTAATTCGCAGTCTCTCTCTCTCAAATTCGTAAGTGTGATTTTGCTCCGTTCTTTGAGTTCGTTGGTATCCTGCAGTTTGTATTGCCACTGTTGCAGGAAGGTTTATTCCGTTTTATCCTGGGAGGATTTAATCCATTACCTTGGCAACGTGTGAGGGGGTTAAAATTCCTTAAGGACACAAGAAAATTGTGAACTCGGAATATTTCTTAAACTCTTCTGTTTTTCCAGTTTCTTTTATTTTTCTAACAGTTTTTTCTGATTTTTGGTTTAACACAGTAACGCTCACAATAACTTTAATACCAGTGGCTCCTACACCCAATATCTCTCTGGCTCTTGCTAGTAGAAGCAGATGGAACATTTTGCCCCTTTATAATTAATTTTGACAAGCTCTCAGATCCAGCACATTTTCAATTATTTTCCGTGAAGTGCTTTGAAATCAGTTGTATCACTTTAAATAGAGAAAGGAGGAATAAAGTAGACAGTGATTATTGTTTGTTTCTCTTTCAATCAGTAAAGTAGACTGATTCATATGCTGAAAAGTATAGACAGACAGGTGATTCATATTCAATTTTATTGTTATATGGTCCTTGCTGATTTATGAGATTATTTCTTGAGCAATTATATATTCTGCGAAAATCTTGACGCAGGATTTATGTCGCATCTATGCTACTTCTCTATGAGGCACATGCCTTATAGACCTTATGTTCATGGAAGATGTGGTTTCATGTTGGTAGGCTAAATTTGAACTGTAGTTATCATTCCATATCGTAATTTGCTAACAATAAATATGGTTTCCTCCACTCCAGACTTATGAGCGTTCTTCTATTGAGAAGTGGCTGGAAGCAGGGCATAGCACTTGTCCCAAGACACAACAAGTCCTCACAAGCAATACTCTCACTCCAAACTATGTGTTGCGAAGCCTCATAGCACAGTGGTGTGAATCGAATGGGGTTGAACCGCCAAAACGACCAGGTAGTTTACCCAATAAGGCAGCATCCGCATGCACGCCTGCTGAGCACTCAAAGATAGAAGATCTCCTGAGAAAGCTCACATCTGGCAAACCTGAAGATCGGCTCTCTGCCACAGGTGAAATCCGCCTACTTGCTAAGCGCAATGCTGATAATCGTGTTGCAATAGCTGAAGCAGGTGCTATTCCTCTGCTCGTCGACCTTCTTTCCACACCCGATTCTCGGATCCAAGAGCATGCTGTTACAGCACTACTTAACCTCTCTATTTGTGAGGATAACAAACGGAGCATTGTAACATCAGGGGCAGTGCCTGGTATCGTCCATGTGCTTAAGAAGGGGAGCATGGAAGCACGTGAAAATGCGGCCGCCGCCCTATTTAGCCTTTCTGTTATAGATGAAAATAAGGTCATAATTGGTACTTATGGAGCAATTTCTCCACTTGTGACATTACTAAGTGATGGCACCCAGAGAGGGAAGAAAGATGCAGCTACCGCACTTTTCAATCTGTGCATTTATCAAGGGAACAAGGGCAAGGCAGTAAGGGCTGGAGTTGTGCCCACTCTAATGCAGCTGCTTACTGAACCTCAAGGTGGTATGGTCGATGAGGCACTTGCCATTTTAGCAATATTGGCTAGTCACCCAGAAGGGAAGGCAGCCATTGGAGCTGCAGGGGCAGTTCCTGTTTTGGTAAATGTGATTGCAAATGGGTCTCCCAGGAACAAAGAAAATGCAGTTGCAGTTTTGGTACACCTCTGCTCTGGGGACCAACATCATATAGTAGAGCTTCAGGAGCTAGAAGTAATGGGGCCGTTGCTAGATTTAGTACAAAATGGCACTGATAGGGGCAAACGAAAAGCAACTCAGTTGCTTGAACGAATAAACAGATATGCTGAGCAGCAAAAGCAGCCCCAGGTACAAGCTGAAGCTCCAGTCCATGCTCAAATTCATAACCAGCTCTCACAGTCGCCACCCTCATCCACAGATTCCCTGGACAGCTGAACGTTTTTTTTTCCTTCCTGTTATATTTATCTTTGCTTGGTTTTTATAGCATTGATTTAAGAAAGGGGTTTAGGTGTGGGAGAATGGGTGGAAGATCACCTGTCATCTCCATCAAATTCTTCATTTATTTTCTGGGGTTGAGGTGTGTATACACCCCCATGAGAAAAGGCCATGGATTGAGAGTAAAAACTGAAAAACACAAAAATATTGAATGTCAATTGTACCATTATAATACATGTACAAGTGGCATCTTCCTCAGTTTTTATAGGTGGAGATGCTTTCTATTAGAATAAACCTTGTTCCATTACTTCCCTTGATTAGTCATATTCTTGATAGAATAAGAAATCAGTATTTTTCCCCCAACTCTTGTCAAACCCAGAAAGCAGTACAGCACATATATTCCGTCTGTTGCTCAACGGGGTATAACGGAAGCAGATCTCATTTAATCACTTCACAATAATTGGAAGTCCTCTTTAACAGGAAACAATCTACTTGCTTTATGGACTTTCACGATCAACAGTTTTGAGCTATTTGAGTGGAGCAATCTTTACTTAAAGAGAAAACGATCAAAATAGTGTTTTGCATATATGGGAAGATTTGTTTGGTCCTAATACTTCACTTTAACGAAATTTGTTTCTACGAGCTCGTGAGCACCTTGATTTTTCCACCGGGTACCTGCTACATTTAATAAATACAACTGTGTCCGCCAACCAAGAGTTAGACATATGGGAATCGACTACCCCACCAGATATTTACTGCCTCTGATCAACACAAGTACCTCATAAATTTGCCCAGCAATCTGGTAGTTTTTTTTGTGTTTGTTGGGATACGATTCATTATCTTCAAGGTTTACACACACTTTATTCATCACTCTTTGGTGCTTAACCTTTAACATAAATAGTCCTTCAAGTTAAAGTGGGTCACTTTCCATGACCACAAAAACATATAACGATAACGGAAAATTCAAAACTAAACGTCCACGTGAATACTAATTGGACGAAACGATGAGCCACCGGCATCTTCATCTTATTTTAAAGGCATAATATCTTAAAATCCTTCTAAACTTAACATGAATTGTTGGTTATATTCTTAAACTATTAGTAGTCTGAATTATCCCCTGAACTTGGCTATTCGACAATTATTACCCCGGGACAATTTCATCATAGAAAAGTGGCATACGCACACTTGCCACATGGATTTTTGTGTCCATTCGGAATTTTTGACGTTAAAATATATTTTTACCTATTTAAATGTATTAATTATGTAGATCATCTTTTTCGTATAAGATTTGTAATAAAATGTAGCTAGGACTCCACTAATTCGGCTAAAACTTTTTGGCTAAAAAAAATGAAGTTTCAGTTAAAATTTTCAAATTTTGCCTAAGAAAAAGAAATGCACTGTTGAAAAAAATAGACATTGCATCCAAAAGAGATATAAAAAGATACACAGTTTGAACTTCAAAATGGCTAACTTTTTTGACTTAGCCAAAAATTATGGAGTTCTAAGCAAGTATTTTATACAGATTTTCCTAAAATAAAGAATACACTGTTTAAATAAAATGGCCGTTGCTTCTAAAAAGGAAATAAAAAATTATACAATTACAATTTTTTAATTTTTCTATATCTGTTTTATGTGGTAAAAAATATTTGAGCGCTAGCCAATTTTTTTATACCGACTTGACCTGAAAATAAAAATAGAAAGTTGAAATAAATAGCCATTACATATGAAGAAAAAATAAAAAGAAATATACTGTTGGTGTTCTATTATTTTGGTTTGGTAAAATGATTGCGTTTCAGCCAAATTTGGCCCCAAAAAAAGGAGAAATACACAATTCCAAATAATAAACATTGTATTTATAGAAGAAATTAAAAGAAAATAAATAATTAGAGTAAAGTATGCATTGCATATTAACATAAAACAAGAAGAAATATACCATTGTAACAAATAAATCATTGTATATGATTATGTAACAATTTTACAATAGCCCATTTGGAAGCTGATTTTTCAATATGTTTTCACTCTCAGGCACCTAAAAGAGAATGTATCTATGTTCTACATCAGCGTTTATGGGGGTAACAATTATCAAATAAATACAATATTTAGAGCAACCCGGTGTACTAAGCTCCCGCTATGCGCGGGGTCCGAGAAAGGGCCGGACCACTTACCCTGCATTTTTGTAAGAAGCGGTTTTCACGGCTCGAAACCCGTGACCTCCTGGTCACATGGCAGCAACTTTAATTACCAGCTACGCCAAGGCTCCCCTTTAAATAGATGATATGAAAAAGAGGTTGAAACTTGAAAGGGGTGGAAGATGAAGCAGTTCGTCACATTTTCCACTGCCGTATGTCCCTTAGAACATGGAGGAAATTATGGCACCTTTCATAAGTTCATTAATTTATTGTATTTCCATTTACTTAACAAGAAGGTAGGCGCTGCGAAAGCAATTGGCCGAAGGGAAAAATGTGGAGATTAGGTTCTGTATTTCCTTCCTATATGTATGTAGTTTCACATTGAATGTCAAAAAGAGAAGAGAAAGATTTTGTCTAACTCCGCCATATTAGGTTGGTCTTTTACTAAAAAGAAAAGTACATAGAGATTCTCTTCCTTTAGGACATCGAGTGATCAGCTAATTACAAAATAACTAGTATAATTAATTTGGACATAGATTTCAATTGAAACTTGAATAAAAGAGTTTTTGAAATTGTGTTAACAAATAATTTTTGAAAATCAAAATTATGTTTGCACGTGTGTTTTACTTGGATAAAAGTTGAAGTTTTATGAGTGGAAGAAAAAAAATTCACTCAAAATAGTTTTTGGAACTTGAAATTTTTTTTTTCTTCAAATACTGATCAAATTTCATGAACAAACAATGTTTTTAATTTTTTTTTAAAAAAGAAAAAGCAATCTATGTTCAAACGGGAGCTAAATTCGATTCTAATTTGGGTAACTTATAAGGGACAATATTCTTTTGCGAATTTAATTTCTATACATGACCGGCAGTGTAAAAGGTCTAAGATGAATTTAAATTAAAAGATATCATCAACGAGGATCCAAAAAAGCCGACTCTAACTAGTATTGGGACTGAAGTATATTTCTTATGTTGTTATTATTGGTGTTGCTAATTATTAGTACATTATTAGGATATCTAAAAAATTACTACATCTAGTCCTCATAATAACTGAATTGTTTACACTGCTAATGTATATACAAATTGAGTTAAATTCCTGCTATTACAAACGTTTGCCCTAAAGCCTTTACTAACCCTTCTCTCAGAGAGAGAGAGAGAGAGAGAGAGGTGCTGTACGTAGAAAAAGCGAAAGCTGGACGAAGGAAACAGAGAGAAGCCGAAAGATAAAACAGTATCACTCTTATCCATGCCCAGTGGTGTGGTGGGGCGTCATAAAAATCTCTCATATTCATGCATACATACGTACATACATACATCAGCCTTTAATTTGTTGTTGCTTCCACAAGCATATATATATGGAGTATATAAATCACCACATTTAGATCCAATGCTTTCCTAAAATAAACAGACAAGAGAAAGGTTTGAAGTTTTCTATTTTTCCTTTTTTCTTATCTGTGATTGGAAATGGGGAATGGGGATGAGAGAAATAGGGTTAACGAGAGCCTACTTTATTATGATAATGACCTTATGAAGGTTTTGAACCCCCTTGACCATTAAACTACACTTTAGGGTTGTGTCAAGGGTGTTCAAAACTTAATATATAGAGATAAAAACCAGATTTTGCCTTATATATACAGTATAATTTTTCGGCGAAGGGGGTTCGGGTGAACCCCCTTGCGCCCCCCCTAAATCCGCCCCTATTGAGTAGTAGGATTTATAAGTATGTAGCCTGACAATATATATCTTTTAGCATTAGTATTAATGAAATTTAATAGCGGAGAGGTAGAGGCAGGCCGAAGAAGTATTGGGGAGAGGTGTTTATGCAAGATATGGCGTTGCTCCAGCTCACTGAGGACATGACCACGGATAGGAAGGTGTTGAGGTTGAGAATTAATAAAGGTAAATGGTTAGGATAGGTAGCAGAGCGTTGTCCTTGTCTGTAATAGTAGCTTTAGTACATGAGTTAGTGTTATTTGTGTATTTTTGTATTCCTTGACTTTAGTGATTACTTGTTGTTGCTTTTGATTGCATTACTTAGTTTTAGTTTTGTATTTCTGCTTCGGTTTTCTAAGTGGTGTGCTTGTTGCTACCCTTCCTTTTACTTTTCCTACGCCAATGGTCTACTGAAAATAGGTTCTCCGGCTTCTTGAAGGTAGGGGTAAGATCTACATACACATTATCCTCCCCAGACCCCACTTGTGAAATTGCACTGGACCTGTTATTGTTGTTGTATTAATGAAATTTAACTTACGATAGTAGATTAGTTATCATTTAGTTGTTACTCATATTTACCTCAGTTTAATAGTTCAGCAGAATCTTATCGCTTTATTCAAACCCTCGTTGCTCGAGATGTAGTATCGGTCCTTGCAAAAGTTAAAAATTCCTCCCTCTGGGCTTCCTTTATCTTTTTAGACCACCACCTCTCCAGTTGTATACTTTACTAGTACTATGCTTTTTCTGTTCATGTAATTATGAATCTTGAAGATTTGCCTCCAACAAATTATCCCTTTATAATTAACAAACAAAATTGATTTGACCTAGCTATAGACTAGTTTGCTGCTGTGAACGTGGGGGATGATATCATGTCAATGATAGTATTCTCTCTTCTCTCTTTAACGGAATATGATGACTCTGAGATGAGAGAATCCTTCTTTAATTTGTTTCTTCTTTTGATTTTCTATGTGATTGGATTTTCTTGTGTTTTGAGTACATGTGGTATAGAACAGTTGCATGGTTTTTAGTGGAACTTTGGCGTTTTCTTTCTTTGACTAATGCTTTATCTCTTTGTGTTCTTTCTAAATCTTTTCAAGCATCTCACTTATCCCACTCACAACCGACAAGATAATCCTCACTAATAATCTTGTCCTAGATTAAGAATCATTCGCAAAAATTCAATCATAGGAAAATACTACGCAAATTTTTCAGAATTTAAGCCACATACATATAGAAGAAGTACACCAAGAGAATATATATTACTGTGCACTCATAACTAGGCTCCTGAGCTTTGAAGATAAAATCGTAAAAGCTTAGTTCCATTGCTTTCTCCTTTTTTGACTGGCGACATCTCGGTCTGAAAAATTTCAACCGAAATTTACCAGTTTTATACTATCAGCTTATTTAAAAGGCAATTATTAAATGGAATTAGTGAAATAAGGAAAATAACCTTTTGCATCAGGTAATCAAA